TTCATGAGTCCCTTGTTGGTCCTGAGCAGTTCAACTGCCTGCTGTTCTTCAGAAACCCCCCCCCAGCTCCTGCACATTCTTTGGTTTTCCAGCATCTTTTGCATATTTGAACCCTTTCCAACATTGACGGTATGATTTTGAGATCCATATTTTCACACTGAAGACTCATACACAACTATTATAAAAGGTGAAAACATTTACTGACGCTCAAGAAGGCAACACAATCCATTAAGGGTGTAAACATTTGAACAGGATGATGATGTGTAAATTCTTCTCATTTTGTTTAACCATCATATTTTTTTCTTTTAGTACTGGACTTCAGAAGCTACATAAATACTTACATGTTTCCCAGAAGACAAAACAAGTAGAATTTACCCTGATCATCCAATTAAAAAAAGTTTACAGCCCCGGCTCTTAATGTTGTCTTCTTGAGCATCAGTACATGTTTTCACCTTTTGTAAGAGTCCATCAATTGCCCACAGTGTTGGATCTCAAAATCATACAGTCAATGTTTGAAAGGGTTCAAATATGCAGAAGATGCTGGAAAACCAAAGGATGTGCAGGAGCTGGGGGGGTTTTCTGAAGAACAGCAGGCAGTTGAACTGCTCAGGACCAACAAGGGACTCATGAACAACTATCACAAAAATATAAAAACAGTCGTGGATCATCCAGGAAATGACACACAGTTTTTAAAATGTAAACTTTTGAATGGGGTCATTTTTTATCAATTCAGATCATTAAACATCTGTTATGTGAGAGCTTATTCAGGACAGTACTAAATAAAACAACATGCAATTTTCATGATCCCTCTTATTTTGTTTCAATTATGAACATTTTGCACATTCTGCATTGAGCACAACTGCATATTATCATCAATATTGATACTATAACCGAACTGAGATGAATCAGCATTGAATCCATAAAATGTAACTAAGTAACGTAATTAGTTACTTTTTTAGGGAGTAATGATATGATGATATGATGATATAACACTTTATTGTCAGACGAGTCTGAAATTTTTCTTGCATGACAGTATCAATATGTAATGCAATATTGTAATGCATTACTTTTAAAAGTAACTTTCCCCAACACTGGTCTGGGAACATTACAGTTGCGTTGCGGTCTATGGAGGTTCAGACAGCTCTCAGATTCCAGCAAAAATATCTTAATTTGTGTTCCGAAGATGAACGAAGGTCTTACGGGTTTGGAACGACACGAGGGTGAGTAATTAATGACAGAAGTTTTGGGTGAACTAACCCTTTAATTCTGAAAGTTATGAACAAATGTTCTTCTAGTAACGTTATTAGAACGTTTGCTCAAAATGATCCGTTCTTAAAACATGAGCACAAAAATGTTATTTATACATCATTCATGGAACTTTTTTTTTTTTTCCCGAAAACTTTTTGGACGCTCATCTAACATTTTTTTTTAAATGTTACTACTTGTTTCAGAACATTCTGAGAACATTCAAAAGTAACATTCTCATGTTGTTTGCCAAATTATAAAATGGAATGTTTCCTTATTCATGTAGCCAAGAAAAAAAAAATGTTTTTAAAAAGCTGGATGTGAACATTCAGAAATAACACTTTCCTAAATTAATGGGAACATGCGAACATATTTATAAACTGGGATTGCATTAGATTACAAAAAATCGAACTAAGTGTCATGTATTTTAAAGAAAGATACCAAAAGCACGCTTTCAGTCAAAAAGAAGTTTGTACCATTTTAAATGTTAAACCAATAGCTTTGCATAACCACATGCAAAGATCCACCTGAGTCAGCTTCAGCTGTTTCTTCAGATGATTGATGAATGTTTCAAGAAAAAGTTGTGGACATTAAAAGCACAATAACATCACAACAGCCAGCAGTGAAACGCTCAAGCTGAGGTTATGGAACAGTCTAGAATATAATAGTGAGAGTGTGTGTTTCCTGTAAATATACACCCTAATGTAATAAATACAGCAATGATTGCTGAGTGTGTAACTGTAGACTTGATCCTGATGGGTTTGGGGGGGGGGTTATGCAGCACATACAGCCGTAATGGAATTCCTCATAAGAAACAATAAAGACAGCACAGCTGTGTAAAGAAGCGCAAGACCGTACAAACAGGGTCAGGAGCTGGGCGGTGCTGTGAAGAAGCTGCCGTGGCTTTGTTTGTGTTTGTGTATTCAGTTTCACATCTGTGTTCAACACCTTGCCAATGCATGCTTCCTCAGTAACACACACTAGCCTTCATTAGGATGCATTCCCTTCAAATAATAACACATTCTTTCCAAACAACTCAGCATCGACTTCAGTAACATGCTCGGTAATTCTCTTTCACAAAGACACACAAACACACACCTTTCACAGTAATTCGCTCTTTTTACATGCTACCATGTGATAGGGAAGAAAACGGAGATGGAAACTGATCCTGCATAATGTGTGTGTGTGTTTTACCATGCGTTATGCTTGATATTTGTTACATTTTACGTCCACTATTGTCCGGAAATTAGAGTCAAGTCACATTTATTTATAAAGTGTTTTACACAATGCAGATTGTTTCAGTGCAGCTTCACAGTATTAAACAGAAAAGTAACAGTGTTAATGTTGCAAAATAAATCAGTTATTAAATGACCATTAAATGCTGTATGACACTGTAAAGCAACATACATTGTAAAAAAATATATATTTTTTGTTGCAAATAAACTTGATCCGAGTACATTTTACAAGAAAAATACTTCAGTCTTTCTACTTCAAAATTTCATGCATAATTCATTGTTGCTTGCCAGTTCTTTGTAATTATTTGTTAATTTTAACAAGGAATTTTTGGAGTGGAAATTGTTTTAACAGAATTTTTTTCAGTGTAAGATAATAGTATCATCATTCAGCTCAATTTAGTTCAATGCTGATTCATCTCAGTTCGGTTATAGTATCAATATTGATGATAATATGCAGTTGTGCTCAATGCAGAATGTGCAAAATGTTCATAATTGAAACAAAATAAGAGGGATCATGAAAATTGCATGTTGTTTTATTTAGTACTGTCCTGAATAAGCTCTCACATAACAGATGTTTAATGATCTGAATTGATAAAAAATGACCCCATTCAAAAGTTTACATTTTAAAAACTGTGTGTCATTTCCTGGATGATCCACGACTGTTTTTATATTTTTGTGATGGTTGTTCATGAGTCCCTTGTTGGTCCTGAGCAGTTCAACTGCCTGCTGTTCTTCAGAAACCCCCCCCCAGCTCCTGCACATTCTTTGGTTTTCCAGCATCTTTTGCATATTTGAACCCTTTCCAACATTGACTGTATGATTTTGAGATCCATATTTTCACACTGAAGACTCATACACAACTATTATAAAAGGTGAAAACATTTACTGACGCTCAAGAAGGCAACACAATCCATTAAGGGTGTAAACATTTGAACAGGATGATGATGTGTAAATTCTTCTCATTTTGTTTAACCATCATATTTTTTTCTTTTAGTACTGGACTTCAGAAGCTACATAAATACTTACATGTTTCCCAGAAGACAAAACAAGTAGAATTTACCCTGATCATCCAATTAAAAAAAGTTTACAGCCCCGGCTCTTAATGTTGTCTTCTTGAGCATCAGTACATGTTTTCACCTTTTGTAAGAGTCCATCAATTGCCCACAGTGTTGGATCTCAAAATCATACAGTCAATGTTTGAAAGGGTTCAAATATGCAGAAGATGCTGGAAAACCAAAGGATGTGCAGGAGCTGGGGGGTTTTTCTGAAGAACAGCAGAAAGTTGAACTGCTCAGGACCAACAAGGGACTCATGAACAACTATCACAAAATATAAAGACGATCGTGGATCATCCAGAAAATGATTTTTATCAATTCAGTTATTATTTTGTCTTGTGGAGTATATGCAAACATCTGTTATGTGAAATAGCTTATTCAGGATAGTACTAAATAAAAAAATAACATGCCATTTTCATGCTCCCTCTTATTTCGTTTCAATTATTAACATTCTGCACGTTCTGCAAGGGCTATGTAAACTTATGAGCACAACTGTAAATTGCCTTTGCATTAAAGCATTTACAGTGGAAGTCAAGATTGCACTGGGAAAAACCTTTTGTAATGTTCACTTGATGCACGTATGGATAACAGAAAGGGATGAGACAGTTATTATTATTTATTTTTTTTAAAGCTATTCTGTTAAAAACATGTCAAACATAAGCACCTAATCAACAAAATTGTCAAATAACAAACTATTTTGCTATTTCTTTGGAGAGCAAAAAAATACAAGCTACACATTACTGTAATCAAACACTATTTTCTTGTTGGTTCTTGATCAAGATGCTCAAACAAACGGTGAAATGTTTTGAAAGCCACAGTGTCAACAAACGACTTTAAACTATAGTTTAAATCATAATATGCAGACTTACAGAATCTGCATAATAAACTGTGAAAAAAATGACAAGTCAGAACTGTATGAAATAAATAGCACAGCCATCTCTCTTCAGTAAATTCAGTGTGGCGCTATAGCTGCCAAAATAAAAGATTAAAATAACAAATGTACTGCTGCATTATGGGATACTCTTCACAGATCTGTGATAAGATGTTCTAGGTATTACTTGTTACATATTCTGTTGACTGGCTCATACAGAAAGAGAATCCTCTGTGTTTGTGTGTGTGTGAGATCTGACCTGAATCGGGTCGGAGGCCTGCCATGTTCCCATGCTTCCCTGTATTATAAATCATCTCCAGAGACGCATCAACTCTCTTCTGTTACAGTCCTGATGGAGCCGCGCCTGCTCTCACACTGCTGTGTCACACACACAAAGGCAGAAGCTTTCTCCTGTTTTCTCTCTACTATATTATTACTCATGATATTCTGGCCTAATGAGGTCGCAGAGAATGGAGCGAGAAAAAAATCCCAAGTCCCAGCGGTCAAATACACACACACACACACAAACACACTCGAACAGGTGCGGCTATATAAGTGCAGGTCATCAGAACATCAGAGATTTTTTCACACACTTGAACTTGGACTGAGGAAGAGCAAGATGCTGCTTCACTGGAACATGGTGGGTGATCAATATGTCTGTCCGTCTTACTTTATTGCTGTAATTGATAAAAAGGAGAGTTATTCACTATACAAAAAAAGCTAAATAGAATTAAATATTTAGTGTTGTAGTTTTTTCCCATTATACAGTATTTTCTATATTATTCGTTAATTTATAGCAAAACAGGTGTATTTATCTGTGGTGTTTGCCAGGTCAAATGTGCTCAAACTTAAATCACAAAAATAATAATTAAATAAATACTTTGAAACAATTTTCACTTGGAAACTGCTGCTAAGTTTCACAAATATTTACAGTTGATCAAACATGACATTTTAAAGTAAAAATCTTAAAAAGCATTCCCTTGTAAAACGTACTCCGATAATCTTTTGTTTAAAACAACAATGCCGCTACAGCAACCAGTCAGGAACATGCTATCCAGCAACGCTCTAGCAACCAATAAAATGAAACATTCTTGACTCTTCTTGATGTGAGACAGTAACATAATATTTGAAAGGTGCTCTGTAATTAGATTTAACTCTGTGATTTTGTTTACAGGACATGAGGGGTATCGTGGGGGTGTTGGTGTATTTGTCTTTCGGACAGTGTGCTTTACTTCCTGAACTCCGTGCAACAGAGTTTGGGTTAATGCCCCCTGAGAACTTTACGCAAGGACAAACGGGATTTGCGGAGCCTGATTTATCCTATTGTCAGATGCTTCTGGAAGCTCCGGTTCCACCCACAGCAGACCAGGTACCCTGGTTCTGCATCTGCTCCACTTGCTCCGGAAACCGAGGCCAGAAAGGAGACAGAGGCGACCGCGGACTGCCAGGTACAAACTCCACAGCATATTCTCACACATACTCTGTTTATTATCATCAAAGGTTTTACTAACTGCATCTGTTACTCACAGGAGTTCCCGGTAGTCCAGGTCCAAGAGGCCTCACTGGGTTTCCCGGCCGTCCAGGATTCACAGGACGTCCCGGCATAAAGGGTGAGACTCAACAAGAAGTCTTGTGTGATGCATTTTACTTCAGTACGAATATGTGCATATCAGTGTTGGGGAAGCTAGTTTATCAGTAACAGGCAGGTGTGTTGAAGCAGGGTTGGAACTGAAGAATGCAGGAAGGTAGCTCTCCAAAAGCAGGGTTGGAGACCCCTGGCCTTAGACCCTAAACTCTTAGTCTACACCCTGAAATCTACAATTGTAACCCAAACTCTTAACTTACTCTCAACCTTCTAAACCTAAACTTTACCCATTCCCTAGACCTATACCCAGCATTCTAGACCTTTAACCAAACTTCTAACTACACCCAAGACCTACGCCCAATATTCTAAACCTAAACATTAATTGACTTGCTACACCTGCACCCTAATGTGTTAACCTACACCCAGCATTCTAAACCTTCACCCAAATTTTTTTACTTAAAATCCCTTTAAGTAGATCATAGAGACCATGGTCAGTTAGTTACTCTACGAAACTGGTGTTCATTTAAATCAATGGAGTTAAATCTGGTAATAACGTAATTCACACACCCACAGGTGAGAAAGGTGACACTGGAGATAAGGGTGACATTGGTCATCCTGGAGTTTCAGGGTCAACAGGAGACAGGGGATTTAAAGGTCAGTGAATCTTCTTTAATCTATCACCATTTGCATACACGCAATGCTTATCATGGGCCTTGGTGACCATGTTATTATATATGTGCTTCCCAGGTGAGAAGGGTGACCGTGGTCTTGATGGTCCTACGGGAGAACAGGGTCCAAATGGAGAAGATGGTCAGTGCCCGGAAACCTGTGAGCCCATACCAGGGCCAGCAGGTGAGCCAGGTCTTCCCGGCCCTGCAGGTGCACGGGGTTTACCTGGGCTGAATGGAGACCATGGTCCCAAAGGGATGAAGGGTGATCCGGGTGTGGTGGGGGAGTCTGGCGTTCCAGGTGTACCTGGGGAGAAGGGTGACCAAGGTCCACAGGGCCTGTGCAATTGTCAGGATGGGGCTCCAGGAGCCCAGGGTCAAACAGGTGAAAATGGTGAGAAGGGACACCAGGGTCCGACAGGGCTGACAGGTCAAACTGGAGCCACAGGACCTAAAGGTGATCAGGGAGAGATGGGAATGACTGGTATTCCCGGACCTTGTTCACCCACCGTGCAATCTGCTTTCTCTGCTGCTTTACTCACTTCCAATCCTACACCGAGCCGGCCAGTGCCTTTCAAACGTGTCATCTACAACTTAAACCTGCACTACAACCCTGATAACGGCGTCTACACCGCCCCGGTTAATGGAACCTACGTGTTTAGCTACCATCTGCAAGTGTCCACCCGTATGCTAAAGGTCGGACTCTTCCACAACTTCGAGGCCACGGTGAGGACAACTACGTCTGTGGAAATGAACACTGCCTCTCAGCAGGTGGTGATGAGTCTGAACCAGGGTGACTGGGTGTGGGTACAGGTGAAAGACATCACCAGTAACGGCATGTTCACCGGCAGCGAGGCCAGCAGCACATTCAGTGGGTTTTTGTTGTACCCAGACAGATGTGATGACATGTTTGGAAGAGATTTCAATGGAAACGCTGCTAACAATGGAACTGATCCAGGGTTCCCTAGCTATAATCTTCCCTGGGAACATCCGTAAAGACCTATATGTATACCTTACCCACTTACCCTACACCTTAAACCCTTAACCAACCCCTATATTCTAAACCACCACCTACAGCCCAGACAAGGGGCAGCCAATCACACTCGTGGAGGGCTACCATCCTGCAGATTTTAGCTCCAACCCTATTCAAACAGCTAATCAAGGTGCTCAGGATTACGCCAAAGTAACAGGCAGGTGTGTTGAAGCAGGATTAGAACTGAAGAATGCAGGAAGGTAGCTCTCCAAAAGAAGGGTTGGAGACCAGACACTTAATCTACACCCTGAATTCAAAACCTAAATTTGACCTATTCCCTAGACTAATACCCAACATTCTAAACCGCTAACCAAAACTTTTATCTACACTCTAGACTTACACCCAACATTCTATACCTAAACTCTACTCTAGGTCTACTCCCTAGACCTGCACCCTAAACTGTTAACCTACACCCAACATTCTAAACCTTCACCCAAACTTTAATCTACACCCTGGACCTACACCCAACATTCTAAACCTAATCTTTTATCAACTCCCTGGACCTGCACCCTAATTTGAACCTACACCCAACATTCTAAACTTTTACCCAAACTTCTAACTACACCCTGCACCCCAAACTCTTAACCAACCTCTAAAATGATCCACCTCTCAACCTCAACCTCTATTGTTTTAATAATATCCCAGATTACATGTAGATTCTATTTTAAGACAACTTTATGTATGTTTGTATGTAGAAGCAAACCTTTGGCTGAAAGCAGAGCCTTCTCTTCCTCATGTTTGGAATGAATTAGTTCTTCAGGTGGATATGTGCGGTGTTTATTTACAGTGCATGTCCCATAACTTTATTAGTTGTATTATGACCCAACAATACACACAGCGAGGTGGATCAGTCGGGAGGTTGCTCCCTTGGCAGACATGTTTTCAGCCGGATGTTTGTTTGAAAAATGAGCAGGAATGCACCAATCAGCTGTTAAATCATCCTTCCAGCTATTCAGTGGACACACACTGTGAATACGAGTGAAAATGAGAATGAGAACAGGATAGGTGAGCAGAGAGAAGTATTTGAGAGGTACAAGAAAGAGAGGTGTTGTCTTACACAATTGAAGTGTTAAACACCTGTTTGAGAGAGAAAGAGAGTCTCTTTACTTTAGGCTTATATCTTTTGAGTATGAATTATTCAGACACAATATTATGTTGGGAAACCTCTCATGGTGTTGCCTATATGGGTCCGGGGGGAAGAGGGGGCCCACCCCAAAGAAATCCTGGATTTTAGCTGTGACCATGAAACAATATGAAACAACACAACATGTTCATGCTCATGTTCTGTGTATTGATTACCTTTATATTGCCAATAAATTGTAAACTACTAATCCGACTCTTTGTTTTTGACTGTTTTTTCACTTAGACTAGTCAAACCATCTGAACAAATCAGATCAGACCATGATGCACATTAAGCGGCAAAAGCCTTAGGAAGTGTCAATGACCAATGTAGCCATTTTTAATTTTCAAATGCAACAGCACTGTTCCAAAACCTAGTGAGCTGTCTTGCTTCTAGTGTCTACTTAGGCAGCATCCTAACTGAACACCTTTTAAGTGACTAATTTTGAGTACTCCTGTGAGCAACTCAGTGTTGTATTTTATAAAATAAAATAAAGTATGAAAAATACTTAACTACCCGACAACATTTTTTGAAGTTTAGAATTTTTTAAATATACTAAAATATATGAAAATTAAAACCAATTCAAAACATTAATTAAATCTATAGTACACTAGTATAAAAACAACATTACAATACTCAAATAAGCATTCAAATACATTTATTATTGTTAAAGGAACAAGAAATGCTCCTCAACTGAAACTCAGATTAATAAATGTAAACAGGTTTGAGTTTATCTCTGGATTGCTGTCATAAGACATAGCACACTAAATTCGTATGTTAACTGTAGTTTGCCGAGTAGGGTGGTGTGTTCCACCAGGTCAAGAGAATCTTTGGTTAATTAAACTAATTTTACAAGACTTTACCACGTTATATGTGTTACAGGGCTTTGAAACTGCAGTTTTGCAATGAAGGATTCATTAAAATGATCAGTGTTTTGGTGCAGAGATCATGTAAACCCAGATGTTTTGCCGTCACAAAGTGTTTTATTTGATTTCAAAGCATTTACAGAGCAAATAACAACAGAATTTGCCTCTAATTTTCTATGCAACACATCCATTTGTGATAAATGTACTATACATCAGTTTATCCTTACTGAAATCTCTAGAGTTATAATTTCAGTATTCAAAGAAGCAGCCTTTTAAACTAAGTTCACACTTGGAATAATGATTTCATACATTTTAGGAGAACTTGTTTAGGTTCTTATGAATCAAAATGCAAATATTTAGCAGCGGTGATCAGGTTTACTGCAATATACATAATTATCTGGAGTGAATATATGGAGACCGCAGCATAAATGCTGATTTGGCCTATTGTTTTTTCTCACCTGGCTTAGAAGTTCCTGCATTAGTGCACATCACAACATCTACACAATCTCAACAAGCATCCGTAAATGCTTATGAATCTTTATACGCACGCGAGTCTGTCTGCGCAAAGCACTCTTCATGTAGAAGGCTCTCAAGGCTCAGCCGGAGATTCATCATCGTCGCCGATGACTCCTTTCAGATAGGAGCGTTTAAACTCCTCGAACACCAGGTCAGTTGTGTCTTCACTAAACACACAAAGAGACAGACACGAAACTCAATCAACGCCGATAGAATCGCAGATGTGAAGATGAAGAGGAACAGTAAAGCAGAAAACAGGAACAAAGGTGTTTTATGTCAACGACACACACCCCTGTTCTGATGTCAGAATACAGTTTCTATTGAACACTAACAACAGATTTACTGAAAGAACGACGCTAAACTGGGGCTCCACACAAGAGACCGATCGCATTTAGATGGGACACCAATATCAGCGATCCTCGCGCTCTCAACTTTCCCTTCCCAGAGCTAACGCGGATCGTTTATCGTCTCAAGAGTGTGTGCATTGTTGCAGATGAAAGACAGGAAAGTGAACGCCACACATTGTGCACCGAACACGTGGAATCAGAGGCACGAGGACTCTATATGGAGGCTATTATATAACAGCACATATAGCATAAGATCACATGAACCCCACTGAATATACACCCAGATAATAGAAAATTATAACTGTGGCTTACCTCTCTTTAGGACGAGGAGAACAGGGAGAAGAGAAAGCAGATAACATTCAGTTATCATCAGATCAAGTCGAGTCACATTTATTTCTATAGTGCTTTATACAACACTGATTGCTTCAAAGCAGGAAAAGAACAGTGTTATATATTATAAAATTCATAATTTACATTTCAGCTCTAAAGCAGCTCTATAGAAGACATTTGTGTCATTATGTAGTTTAATGTTGTTTCAATTCAGTTCAATAACAGTTTTAAAAAGTTGGTGTCATTATCCACCTCAATTCAGTTTCATTTTTGTTCTCATCTGAGAGTGTCAGTGCATATAAAATCGTTAATTTTATTGAATATTAATTGTCTTTTAAATCCCACTCAAATTCACAATTACATGACCTCAGGAGATAATGGAGTCATATTAGTTTGTAAAAACAAAAATCATGCAGTAATGCACTTGTCAGGGTTATCGTTAACTAAAAATAAAACCATAAAAAACATTCTTTCTTGAATTTAAATAAACCTTAACTGAAATGCAATGAAATATTAAGAAAAAAAGAAACGTAAATGCATTTTATTTCAGCTAGTTGCAAAGGCAGCTTCTCACATTTTCACTCAGTTTAACTTGATGCATTAAAATAACTAATACTGAAATAAAAATGAATAAAAAGTACAAACATTTATATAAAAAAAAAAACTCAAAATTGCAAAAAATTACTAAAACTTTACAATTAAAATAGAAAATAGAAAATCGAATTAAAATATTAATGAAAGCTATAGTAATAGCTCAGTGATACTAAAATAACACTGGCACTTATATACATTTTTCTGAGATTACAACTAGGCGCTAGGTGGATGAACATCTGGTTATTAATGACTGTTAATGTAGGTTATGTGAGTGGAATTTGCTCCATGTACTGTAGTGCTATGTATGTGCATTTAATTGAATTTATTTTAGAAACCGAGGTATGATTAAAACTCATGTTCTGTGCTGAAAGAGAACAGCTGTAAAATCAGGTTTGGCAATGTGATCAGCTCACCTGGATCAGGTTTGGGATGCATGAGTTTGAAGGGAACCTCCACAGCAACCTCACTGAAACACACACGATCACATCTTACAACCGTACACACTCACAATGTCTAGACAACTTCTGCTGGATTCAACACTCACCTGGATCCAACGATGCTGTAAGAGAGCAGAAATAAAGACATTAGCATCTTCCCTGACAACCAGATATTAGTTTGGTTAGCATAAACTCAAAACAGCTCATGCTCACTCACCCAGCTGCATTACACTTCACCACAACCCTATAAGCCACCAACATTCCCAGAATCTCCTTCAGCACTTCATCCTTTACACTGCAGAGAATATTAAAGAAATAGTTCAGCAAAAAATGAAAATTAGGCCATCCAAGATGTGGATGAGTTTGTCTTCAGCAGATTTGGAGAAATGTAGCATTCCATCACTTGCGCTGCAGCGAATGGGTGCCGTCAGAATGAGAGTCCAAACAGCTGATAAAAACATCACAATAATCCACAAACGTCTTGATGGATTAGTTTCAGCTTTTGGCTTCTCCAGATGTTAACTGATGGACTGGAGTGCTGTGGATTACTTGTGATGTTTTTATCAGCTGTTTGGACTCTCATTCTGACGGCACCCATTCACTGCAGAGCAGAATTTAAATAAACCTTAACTGAAATGCAATGAAATATTAAGAAAAAAAGAAACGTAAATGCATTTTATTTCAGCTAGTTGCAAAGGCAGCTTCTCACATTTTCACTCAGTTTAACTTGATGCATTAAAATAACTAATACTGAAATAAAAATGAATAAAAAGTACAAACATTTATATAAAAAAAAAACTCAAAATTGCAAAAAATTACTAAAACTTTACAATTAAAATAGAAAATCGAATTAAAATATTAATGAAAGCTATAGTAATAGCTCAGTGATACTAAAATAACACTGGCACTTATATACATTTTTCTGAGATTACAACTAGGCGCTAGGTGGATGAACATCTGGTTATTAATGACTGTTAATGTAGGTTATGTGAGTGGAATTTGCTCCATGTACTGTAGTGCTATGTATGTGCATTTAATTGAATTTATTTTAGAAACCGAGGTATGATTAAAACTCATGTTCTGTGCTGAAAGAGAACAGCTGTAAAATCAGGTTTGGCAATGTGATCAGCTCACCTGGATCAGGTTTGGGATGCATGAGTTTGAAGGGAACCTCCACAGCAACCTCACTGAAACACACACGATCACATCTTACAACCGTACACACTCACAATGTCTAGACAACTTCTGCTGGATTCAACACTCACCTGGATCCAACGATGCTGTAAGAGAGCAGAAATAAAGACATTAGCATCTTCCCTGACAACCAGATATTAGTTTGGTTAGCATAAACTCAAAACAGCTCATGCTCACTCACCCAGCTGCATTACACTTCACCACAACCCTATAAGCCACCAACATTCCCAGAATCTCCTTCAGCACTTCATCCTTTACACTGCAGAGAATATTAAAGAAATAGTTCAGCAAAAAATGAAAATTAGGCCATCCAAGATGTGGATGAGTTTGTCTTCAGCAGATTTGGAGAAATGTAGCATTCCATCACTTGCGCTGCAGCGAATGGGTGCCGTCAGAATGAGAGTCCAAACAGCTGATATGATTTACTTAAAAATTTTAAATGTTCACTTATAAATTGCTAGTAAATAGTAACACATTGAATTAAACATGACATTTTTAAGTGGAAAGGCTGAAATAGTAATTTCTTGTGAACATACTCCAATAACTTTTATTTACAACTTTGAAAAATAGATTTTTATAGTGTATAGGTGCCGAATGATCGGCACTCACATGCTGGAGGAGGCCAGGTTAGTGTCCTCATGCTTTAGTTTTCCATCCAGAGCGAGTCCCAGTCTCTCACGGTTATGGTCCAGTAGAGGACAGAGGGTGTAAACCTTCTTCAGACTCGTACCAGACGGCACAGTGTCCCTGTGACATCATAAACAGAACACAAATGTTACAAAATAATGATACATAACTAGCAGTGACATCATAAAGGTGACACTCCTAAATGTTACATTTGAACCTAGTGAGTATTTTAAAACATCAGAGATGTGCTTCGCAACGTAAAAAGCTTCAATGCTATATCAGAAGTCAGAATAATGCAGCATTAT